CACACACACACACACACACACACACACACACACACACACACACACACTTGTTTCTAATGGCAGCCATCTCTAGGTAGGGAAGAAATAAAAGGAAAAAATTTACGTGATAACTTTATTATAAATTTAAAAGGAATAGCAAGTTGTACAAAATAGATTTGCAGTTTCATGTGCAATCATTTTTTTTAAATTACGCTATGTTATGGAAATGCTTGTTTTAGTCAATAAATCAAAAATAATTTTTTTAAAAAAGTGTATCAAAAAAAGGATTAACAATGGATACAGAGTTTGCTTGAAATGGATGGGAGTATGATAAGCGACAAAAACAAGTGTGCTAAGTCAGCTACTTGTCTGAGTTTAAAACCTTATTTAAACTATGGGTATGTGTATAGCAGTCAGGTCCAGAAATACCTTTGCACATACCCACTTAGACATGGGACAGGAGCTAAGGCAGCACAAATCTCAACTCCTCATTAGATGTGCGCCAACCAACCTATTTTTGCCTCTACATGGAAGTTTTTTACTCCTGTTTATAAAAGCAGAGTGCAGTTTGAAATCTGTGCTGGCACTCCAACTGCTTGCTGCCTTGGTATGTTAATAATAATCTCCTTCGTCTTATATTTTCTGAGTTTGCCTTATTGACCAGGACAAGGCCTGAATCAGGATTTTCTCTTAACAATTTGGTGACTCACAAAGGGATCACTCGCTGGCATAACTATCACTGGATGAGCCCACCATCAGGCTCTGCAGCTGGCACTCAGACTTGTGTCTAATTGCCAATTGGAGTGGACTTCGGAGTAGACTCTGTCAGTGGTCAGTCAAGCCATAAAGCAGGTGGAGAATTAAATTCCCCAAACTCAGGAAGAATAAAAAGAAATAGGTTCTGAGCCTAAAATTCATTCTGTCATTGTGCGTTAAGATAAAGGGAGCTATATGAAGAAAAGGGGCAATAGAGAGTAGCTGGTTTTGCCCAACACTAGGCTGCCAATGGACAGAAAGGCAAAGAAAACTGGTATCATTATGAGATCAGGACAGAGTAAGTCTCCCGCTGACTCCCTATTAGGCAAGCTTTTAAAGCATGGGACAAGGAAAAACCGCCAGTTAATTGAGAATGCCTCAGACTCTAGTAGTAAAGCTCAGAACTGGACTCTGTACATAGATAACTGTGGAAAACAAATTTGGCCATATTGAGTATGGGATCTGTGATTAAAGTTAACTGCAAATGCTAAAACAAAACAAAACAAAACAAAAAAACACCAGACTTGAAGAGCTAGAGGCTGGGCAAAATGGATTATAGGTACTGTTGGGCAGGACTTTTACTCCCTCTGTCTGAAACTGCCCCTTATGTCCATACAATCTGGATTTCTCAGAAACAAAGACAACAGAACTCTTAAGAATCACTTTTATAGGGAAAAGATAGAAAAGAAGGGATTAAAAAATTGAAAAGAAGATCTAGAAAAGCAAAGGTGGGGTGAGGATATGTGTGGGAGAGTAATTTTCCCTATAAAAGGGAGGGGCACTTTAAGAGTTTGCAGGAAATTGGAACAGGACTAGGCCTCTGGCAGAAGGAGATATCCTCCAGATTATCAACAAGGGGCACCAAGAAGAACCAGCTGCTATGTGGACCACCACCTCTACCTCCCCACCCCTTTTGACTCCACCTACCAGCTTACCACTGATTGTACCTTGTTTTGAATACTAGGGATGAATATTAACAATAAGGGGAGAATAGGTACAGAGTTAAAGAAAATGAGAGTTTGTTTGGACTGAGTGTGAATGAAGGGTTTGAAAATACAGGGTTTGGAGTTTAGAAAGAGAGGTTTGAGGGAGAATATAAGGATATCATGTCATCATTTTTGATAGGAATAAGAATTTATGATATGGAAAATATAGTAATATATTTGCAACACGGAATTGAGGACTGCATACCAAAAGTCTGTCCTCAAAGGACCGTAAGAAGACTATATTTTACTTGTCATGGGAGGAACAGAAATTCCTCATGGACTCTAGAAGAAGGCTGAGAATACAATATTGCCACTTTAAATATTTGGCAGTAGATTAACTGAGAGTATCAGACCATATAATGTGAAGTGGTAGTAAATGGCCCTCAGGAAAACTGAGATTCTGTATGATACCATTTGCACATATAGATTCGGATGTGACTGAATTTATTCTAGATCCATTTTAAGTGAGATGTGTACTTCTATTAGGATAATAGACTGTTTGACCCTCTATAAGTAAATCAGGCCTTAATGTAAAAGACACTTGAAATGTGCAATTTAGGCAGTATGATTAGAAACTGCAAAAGTAAGTTTTGATAAAGTATAGTTGGATCAAAATTATTGTATATTGGGGTCTTGAATGCAAGCAGTAGTGATCAAATGAATGATTTTCTATGTATGATAATTCAGACATGCCTTCAACTGAACTGATGCCATCTGACTGGCAAGAAGTTTTGTGTCACATTTTATGTCCATAATATTGTATGTGTTAATGTTTTTCTAAATTTTATTGTACTGTGAATTTTGGGAAACCATTGTATAAAAAATACTGTTAATAAGATGATGCAATTGTATCACTGGAAAATTTAACTTCTCTTTTGACATGGACACTGTGAAATTATTAAGCTATTAGAGGCTATTGTCATAATATTAAAATGATCAAATATTTAATTGGGTATATTTTATTTATTTATTTTTTGGTGAGGCAATTGGGGTTAAGTGACTTGCCCAGGGTCACACATATAGTAGGTGTCATGTGTTTGAGGCTGGATTTGAACTCAGGTCTTCCTGACTCCAAGGCTTCAGCTCTATCTACTGCCACCCCTAGCTACTCTGTAATTGGGTATATTTTAAAAGGGAAGAATAATAATTACTTTGTGGGAAAAGGAAAAAAAAAAGAGAGACCTTGTAAAATCTCCTTATTTGTAAAAATGCCAAGTTCCTTGGTACCATCTGCTTGGGTAAGGTCATAAAATCTTATCAGTCCTGTGAAAGAACTTGCCAAATGTGAAATTCCAAAATAATAAATTGGTTTACTGAGAATATGGGCTTCCTCTCTTCCATCACAAACATTCCTTGCCAAAGATGGGGGGAGGGATTTACAAGTTTGCTTATAGTATAAAAGAGATGATGATTTGGGATTATGAAAATTATGAAATTATACCTGGAAGTAGCCAGTATTTTTCTGGATTTGAGTGAAATATCATATATTCACTATGTGGAATTCTAGAATGCAATTGTTTCCTCTCATCTGAGAACTGCTATAGGTGATGTCTGTCCCTGTGAAAAGTTGAGGGGACAACCTTGGCATAGCTGAAGGTAGGATCCTCATCATTCAATTTCCTTAAAGTATTATTTCCTTTATAACAGGAATGTTTCCCACCTGGTTAATCTTGAGCCTGGCTATGATAACCTATGAATAGTGTGGAACTTTGCTGACTGAGTAGCTATTCCAGAAAGCTAATTATGACTTTGACCTGAACTCAAACAGAACTAAGGATGCCTTATCTTGTTATAGCTATGTAATTTTGTGCTCTTAGCCTTAGAGGAACAGTTTTGACGTAGTTACAACCATGTCCCTCCTTCTTCCTTAAATAGCACATTTCTCTAACCATAGCAGGTAAAACTGGAATTTAACTACGTGTGTGTGTGCGTGTGTGTGTGTGTGTGTGTGTGTGCGTATGTAATGAATCTTGTTTCTGTAATATCCTAGCACCTCTAAATTGCTATAAAATGATGCAAGTAAAAGGTACCATATTGTATAGCTTACTTTGATGTTCTTCCTACAGCTCTGTTGTTTATAAGGTCAGCTTCATAAGGTCTGAACTGATTTTCACCACATGAACTTGTTATTGGAAGGCCAATCTGAATATTCAATTTTATTAAATCATTCTAAGTCTTACATACTAAAAGAATCTCCATCAGTGACCTAGAACTTGGAGATGGTTGAAGAAATACTTCCACAAAACCTGCCCTGATCCATGCCCAGATGTTTGAGAGATGCACAAGAAGAGCTTGCCAGACTCCCAGAGATCATGGATGCTGCCAAGGGAACTGACACACCTAAAGCTATAGCTATAATAAATGTGTTATGGACCTATTATCTATTCTGCAAGCTGCTTATAATTTTGGCTTGCACTGATACTGATTTGGGAACTGTTAAAAAAAAAATTATGAGACTATCAGTAGGCTCAAGCAAGGTGCTGTCGGGGTATCTTTGGGTCCTCACAGTTATTGCTAAACTTGTAAAAGGGACCCAATTCCTTGTCCTTGGTCACGCATAGCAACTGCATGCCCAGAATATATAAAAAAGGTAAACATAAGTGAAAAATCAGAAGGGACTAAACAAGGATAAACTGTTTACATTCCTATATGAAGAAATGATGCAGAACTTTATCATTACTTGGGGCAGCCAGAGGGAGACTACTTAGAATGCATGGGTATGATTCTATTATTTTGGGATAATCTCAAAAAAAGAATGGAAGGATGAGAAAGAGGAATGAACCGGAAGAGGGACACAGAGAAAGGAAAAATGGAGAAAATTATCTTACATAAATGGAGTTTGTAAGAAAGAGTTTATGTAACGGAGAAAGGGGGTAGGGAGTGGGCAATACTTGAACCTTACCCTGACGTGATCTGCTTCAGGAAGGGAAGGATATATACATATACACACAAACACAGGTAGAGAAATTTTTCTTACCTAATGCAGGGGAAATATAAGAGTAAAGGTAGATTAAGGGAGGCAGTGATCAAAAGTGAAATAAACTCTTAAGAAAGGAACAGGGTGAAAAAGAGAAAGATAAATATAAGAGAATAGGATAGAGGGAAATATACACTTAGCAATCATAACTGTGAATGTGAATATGATGTGGTCACCCATAAAATGGAATAGGATGTCAAAATAGATTGGAAACCAGAACTGAAGAATATATGAAGAAACTTGCAAGAAACAATATATCTATTTACTTGAGACAGAAGGATATGCACAGTTAAAATAAGGGGCTGGAGAAGAACCTATTATGCTTCAGCTGAAGTAAAAAAGGCAGGAGTAGTAATCATAATCTTAGATAAAGCGAGGGCAAAAATAGAACTAATCAAAAGAGATAATCAAGGAAACTACATATTGCTAAAAAGTATCATAAACAAAGAATATAAATGTTGAACATATATTTATCAAATGACATAGCGTCTACATTTTTGAAGGAAAAGTTAATAAACAGTAAAACCACAATAGTAGGAGACCTCAATCTGCCCCTTTTTGACCTAGATAAATATAATCACAAACTAAACAAGAATGAAATTAAGAAGATGAACAGAATTTTAGAAAAGTTAGCTATGATAGACCTCTGGAGAATATTAAATGGTAATAGAAAGGAGTATAATTATTTGTTACCTGTGCAAGGCACCTTCACAAACACTAAACGTGTATTAGGCCAGGGATGGGAAACCTGTGGCCTTCTAGGTCCTTAACTGCAGCCTTCTGACTGAATCCAAATTTTACAGAACAAATCCTCTTATTTTTATTAATACATTTTCGTTCATCTTTTATGTTTATATTTAATTTTTTAAAATGAATGTATTTAAAATACCAAAGAATAAAATGTTTCAATGGAATAATCCTCCCAGATTGAGCGGCACAATTAGAACTTACTAATGTAAGCCATAAGGGCTAAATTGGTGGCTTCTATGCTCATTATTAAGTTCTAACTTCCCCCGCCTGACTGGCACCACCAGCACATGAGGCTGGCTGGCGAGCATTTATGGGGGTCAAGTACACCAGCTTTGGACAATGGAGCACTGTGTTTCTGTTTGAAGTGGAATTTGTGAAAGTTGCACAGCTCAACAGTTATTTTTTAATTCTGTCTGCTTAACAACCCATCATGTCAAAGAAAAACAAGAGAATACTGAAGGAAGAAAACAGATTTTTTAATGAGGATTGAGAATTGCAATATTATCTTGTTTCTGCTAAAGATAAGATGATTTGCTTGCTTTGTGTTACTGCAATATCAGCATTAAAGAAATTCAATGCTCATCAGCATTATGACGTTCATAAGGACCACAGATATTTTAAATTAAGAGGGAGAGGCATAAAAAGTTGTATTGCAGAAATTAAAAGATGAAAAGCAAAAGCAAAGACAATTCTTTCAACTTATAATGTAGCTTATATACTCAGGAAAAAAGGGAAGCCATTCAGTGATGTAGAAATTGTGAAAGAATGCATTGTCAAAGTCGTAGGATGCTTAGATCCTGATAATGTTTCAAAGTACAAACAACTGGCTCTTTCAAGGAGAACCATAACTGATCAGCAGCATGAATTAGCCTTTAACTACATGAAATACTTCAAAAGGAAAATATACGTTATTCAATCACTTTGGATGAATCAACTGATACTACTAATTCGGTGCATTTTCAGAGGGTTGCCCAAACTCAAGAATAATTTCATTCATTGTTTTTAAATAACTTATTTTTATTCATTGATTTTCATTTGGTGGTCAAGGTCAAATATTTAATAGTTTCTTTTGTTTGTCCAGGACTATGATTTCATTAGTATATAGAGCTTGCAGGGAGAAGAACTCCCTTTAGTTAATGCGATGTTATATCAAGCCTTTTTTGTTTATATAAAACATTTAAAAAATTATCCAACAGCTATCAAATGGCAACTGTCCTGCAATTTATAATTTTATTCATGGCCTTAGATTCTGGAAAACCTGGGATCAAGGTTCACATGTGACACTTCCTGATTTAGTGATTCCCCTGAGGCACTTTAACCTCCTTTACCCCCAGGTTACATTTTTTAAGACTGTCTTTTTACATGCATGCAATGGGAGGATATATAAATCCTACCAAGCCAAACCAGACTATTAATCAGATTAGAAATGTAAATGTTTTCAATACTATGAAATATTCAATGACAACAATTTTTCAAAATACATGGGATAGCAGACCTAATCTCTTTTTTAAACAAACTCCATATCAACTATAGACATAGTACATTAAGAAAAAATATTGAACACGTTCTGAATCTAAGAAGTGTTTTAATCTTCATGAAGATATAATACCTCTCTTGCCAGTCCAAGCCAAACTTTTAAAGTATCTGGTCAAAAAAAAATTTAAGAAAGAATTTGGGGCAACTACCACAATAAAATCTTGTCCATGTAAAGGGTTTCAAAAATTTTACCTCTCTTGAAGCAGGTCTATAACCATACCCAGATGGTAAATTTTTGTCTTCTTCACAGCCTTTGGCTCCTGGGCTAAAGTGTAACTCAACGTGAAAACGCTCTTCGGAGGACAGATCCTGAGAAAGGTGAGAAAATGTTCTCTCTCAAAATGAAGGATTTAGGGTTATGTATTTTTTAAAAAAATACAGAAAAAAATAAATAAACTAAGTTACCTTGTTTGGATCTTCATAGAGCATGATAACAATCTGAGTCATGTAATTGAGTTCATTGACAACATTTAGGTAATCCATAGCACGCTTCCACTGATCATCTTTTGATTCCTAAACAAAATTACATGTCATACCATTTCTAGTTTGTTACATTACAGGTTTTAAATGGTAATTTTATTTTTCAGTATTCTTTCCTTAATTCTAAGAGACAAAATGGAGAGTCCATGAATCATTACAAAAGCCCACCATTTTTCAGTATAACTCATTGTAATGACACAAACAATAGATTACATAGCCTTATTTATTTCTGTTTATGTAAAATGTGAACAGTATCATGGCTTACTGGATAGAACAGTGGACTGAATCTGGAAGGCTTAGGTTCAAAACTGCCTCTGACATTTACTAGTAATATAACCATGGGCAAATCACCTCTATGTGCTTTGGCCTTTCTCTAGGATTTATCTAAATCTTAGACTAGTTTGGGCTGTGATCTGAGAGTTCATCTACTGTGAAAAATGACATCTTATTGCATAAAATTCATATGCATAACATACACAAGTAATATTAAACATCTCAACTTTTTTTGGTTTATATATAACATTTGAAAAATTATTCAACAGCTATAATAGTTTTTACCACAATCAGTAATCCCATGTATCAATATATAAATGATCTTTTTAAAAAAAGTAATGTTCTGATTATGTAAGATCTGAAGGCAGAGATGGTCCCAGTACGACTATGAAAATCCTATAGCATCTAAGATAACCCCCAAACAGAATAAGTGCTAAGCTTTTTTGGGGGGGGGGAAGAAAGAGGTCTAGATTCATTCTTTTGAGGAATTCATAGTGTCGAAATTCCTTCCACAAAGAAAGAACAACTCCTTTGTAATTTACAATCTTATTAAGTTGCCTAGGGCAATGAAAGGTTAAATGACACGTCCACAATCAGTTGCATAACTAACATGTATCTAGAGAAAAGGTATGAATACAGAATTTCCCAACTCTAAGACTGCCCATACACAGTGTTAAACTATCACCTTGGAATTTTGGAGCTGGGTGAAACCTTAGAGATCATCTAGTACAACTCTCTTAATTTACAAATGAGGAAGCTGAAGCAAAGTATTTTACCTAAGGTTATACTGCTGTCAGAGGTAGGACTAGAACATGGGCAGTTTACAATTCAGGGCTGTTTCTGTGATGCCATACTATTAATGAACTCATGTGTATGTAAAAATTTTGTATATAGGGATAAGTACTAGATCTCTGATTTTATTCCTTTAGGGAACTCTTAGATGAGGAAACTCCTACCAATCAATTCAGGTTAGCATTTCCTCTGAAACTTAAGAGTCTTCTAGTTGGCTGGAGTACTTGAGAAGGGTAAGTGACTTCCCCAAAGTCACAAAGCCAATATTTAGGACCTGAACCAAGTCTTCTGGCTTCAAGGCCAGCTCTCTACCCACTATGGCATGCTGACTCTCAATCACACATATATACTTATTTGTATATGTACAAATCTATGTGTATAGAAAATATGTAACATAACTTACACATGTACATCTATAAAATGGTTTAAAAATAACTTCTTTAAATCAAATCATATTTTGCTATAAACTTACAGTGTTCCTTCAGAGAAGTTTTATTTTTTTAGTTTGAAGTTTGGTACACTGTGTGTTTTGTTTTCAAGAAAATATAGGATCACAGATTTAGAGGTGGATGGGACCTTAGAGGTCATTAAGTTTAACCCTTTTATTTTACCAATAGAGAAACTGAAGCTCAAAGAGGTTAAAATAATTCCCCCAAGATGCAATTGGTAGCATGTGAAGAGCTGGCTCCTAAAAATCCATGGTTATAAACAAAGAGAAATCAGGCATTGTTTATTCATTTTCTAAAAGGATCCACTAGTTTCCCCTTAAAGTTCTAACACTTTATCTTCCTGGAGAATATCCATCTTCTCTGTTTTTAGGAGGTTATAGGTGGGGAGAAGTGAGTGAGTGACCCGGAAGATGTTCCAGGGGGTCAGTGCATGAAACATGTACTCCACTAGGCCTCTAGTATGGAAATTAAGGGACAATGTCCCTAGTCCTACTACCTTCAGGAGCAGAGCACATGCACAGAGAGAAGAATAGAGAAACTGCATTAGCCCTAGAGAAAAAGTGAAATCAAGGCATCTTTTAAGATATTTTAAGGTATTTTAGGAGATGCCTTGTTTGTAGAATAATTATAGTGGAAAACTGCATTAGGGCCCCATGGGTTGGATTTTAGATAACTCACAATTATAAGCACTTTAATTTACAGAGTGCTTTTAACTTCGCAATAGTTCTGTGAATGCAATTATTATTGTTTTCAACTGCTAACATCTCGCATATACTAGGTACTTAAATAAATGTTTATTGTTTTGGATTGGAAATGAAAAAACTGAGAATCAAAGAGATTATGTAATGCCCCTACTCAATAAATTCCAGTGACTCCCGATCACTTCCAGGATCAAATATGCAATCTTCTATTTGGAATTTAAGGATTTTCATAACCTACCATCTGTCTTCCTTTCTAGTCTTCTTATACCTTATACCTTCACAGACCTCTTTGGCCCTCCTCTCCACCTCCCTCTCCCCACTCCTCTATCTAGTTACAACAGTTTTCCCGGCACAAGGCACTTCATTTCCCAACTGCAGGCATTTTCACTAGCTGAATTCTGGCTTCTTTCAAGTCCCAGCTAAAAGTCCATTTTCTACAGGAAGTTCTTCCTGATCCACCCTTAATTCTAATGCCTTCCTTCTATTGATTTAATCCAATTTTCCCTGTATGGACATGGTTTGTACATAGTTGTCTGCATGCTGTCTTCCCTATTACCCTGTGAGGTCCTTGAGAGTAAGGACTGTCTTTTTCCTCTCTTTTCATTCCCAGTGTTCAGCACAAAACTGGCACTCAATAGGTATTTAATTAATGTTAACTGATTTTTATTAGGTGGTCACACTGTCAAGTGTTAGAGATCTGAAACTTGAACACAAGTCTTACACTTCAAGTCCAGTGCTCTTTACCCAATGGCACACATCTTATCATTAAAGAAAAAAAAAAGACTTTAACAGTAAGAAAAAAAAAAAAAAAAAATTTGCACATAAGAACATAGAAAAAAATCTTAGCTGAGAAAAATGTGTATTTGGCAACTAAAAATATCAAAATTAACTGATATCACCAAGTTCTGGGCATTACTTTTTATAAAACACAATGAAACATACTAGTAATTAAACTTACATCACATAAGGCACCATAACGAAGGATGGATAGTAAAGAGTGTACATGACTTTCACTGGTGAAATATAATCTAGTACGGACATGACGTTCAGGGGACATGACACCTCTGGAATACCTAAAGTTAGAAACAAAGAGTGTTTTAAAGACATAACAAAGTCAAAACCTATTTTATAAAAAGGAAGCACAATTTTATGAGAAATATAATTTAAAAAATAATATAAAAGCCATAACATCTGATACCATACAAAGTAATCACAAAGTATGAACTGTCATACAGATATTTTTGTTGCACAAATCATCATTCCAGAGAGCAAGACTTAAAACTGAAACTAACCACAAATGGAGTAGAAAGTGATTTTGAAAGTATTATTTTACTGAGATATATTAGAAAAGAGCTAAGTAGGGTTATCATCAGTTAAGGTTTACCAGACAACTACTGGGGCTCATGGAATAAAATGCTCCAACACTAAAGAAAAAGCCCAGAAAGGAGCCAAGTGCCACTTAGCTGGCACTTGATACTCTCTAATCTCTAGGTTTCATGACATTGCTCTCACTGAGTTCTCCTCCTACCCATCAGACTACTACTTCTCAAGTCTTCTATGTCTTCATTCAGGTTACACTTACTAACCATGGGAATTCCACAAGGCTCTATAGTGGCCCTTTTCTCTTCTTCCTTGATAGTGTTTCACTTGTTTATTTTATCAGCTTCCATGGATTCAATTACCATCTATTTTTCCAATCCTAACTTTTCTCCTGACCTCCAGTCTTGAATTTCCGATTGCCTGTTGGATGTCTTGAACTGGATGTTTCATATACAGATATCTTAAATTCAGCATGTCCAAAACTGAATTCATCCTTCCCTATCTATCTCTAACTTCCCTATTGCTGTAGAAGGTATCATCATCCTCCCAATCACCCAGAAAACTTGCAACCTAAGTGTTATCTTCATTTCTTGGTCACTCTTACTCCCTATAGCCAATTTGTTGTCAAGTCCTAGTGATTGTATCTTCACAAAATCTTTCTTTTAGGTAATCTCTTTTCTCCTCTGATTCTGCCACCAACCTGGTGCAAACTCTCATTACCTCATGCCTAGACTACTGCAATGGCCTTCTGGTTAGTGCTTCTGCTTCAAGTCTCTTCCCACTCTAGTCCATCCTCCACTCACTGGTCAAACTGATTTTCCTAGGGTACAGACATGGTCATGTTATCCCACCCTATTCAATGAACTCTAGTGACTCCGTATTTCCATTGACTGTTACCCCCATACCTGGAATTCTTTCTCTTTCCCCTCACCCTCTCTTGGCTTCTCTGGCTTCCTTCAAGTGACAGCTAATATTCTACCTTCTGCAAGAAGCTTTCCCCAATATCCTTTAATGCTAGTGCTTTCTCTCTGCTGATTATCCCCACTTTATTCTGTAAATATTTTTTCTGTATATTTTATTTTTTTGTAAATTTATTCTGTATATTTTGTTTCTATATTTTAAACAAGTTTTTATTGATATCTTCTGTTTTTTCTATTATCATAGTTTTCCCGAGGATCCCCCCACCCAACAGAGCCATCTTACATAACAAAGATTATTTCTTAAAGAAAAAAAAGAGGGAGGGAGAGAAAGAGAGAGAGAGAAATCAGCACCACCAATCAATATACAGAAAAACTCCAAAAATGCACAATTTGTAATACCTATGGCCCTCCCACTTCCACAAAAGGGTGAGTTGGGGGTGGCTCTCATATCTTTTATTCTGTATATATCTTGTTTGTGTATAGTTGTTTGTATGTTCTCTCAACCGTTAGACTGTAAGCTCCTTGATAGTAGGGGACGTTTTTGCCTTTCTTTGTATTTCTACTAGCTTGTCACAGTGCCCAAGACACAGTAGGTACTTAATGCTTGACATTAAATGCTTAGTGACTTGATTTAACTTGGTAAAATATGACTCTGTTCTATTATCTCACCAAAGTTCTCCTCCAGGACTGAGCCAAAAAAATTTTAATTGACTACTACCTGTAATGCTTGACAATTTAGTACTCCTTAATTTTCCAAACATACTAAATAACAGTTTACTTTATATACTGTATCAATTCCTGAAACTTTAGATTAAAATACTTTCTACATCTTTACCTTCATGCTAGTAGCTAAATTAGAGTTAATGAGTTTTGCACATAACACACACACACACACACACATTTTTAAAATGTCTCTTACAGAGGATGGAGTTTATTCACAGTGTCATCATCTTGTGTTCTCTGAAGGTCTGATCGAATTTTCTTAACTAGAGGAGTGCAGAAGCCTTTGGCAATCTCCAGTTTTTCAGCTTTAGATATGCCATATTCCTAAAGAGAAAGAAAATATAACAGTATTAGAAAAACGACATTTCAAACAGAAAGACATTGATGACAGAAAAATATATTACCAGAAAGATTTAATTGTTCACGTATGAGTATGAGACCATTCTGAGTTTGAACTTACGTACCTACAAATATTTTCTAAATTACTTTGTATAATTTCTATTTGATAAACTATAAATAATATTTATGCCTGGACATTAGTTGACTTCAAAGAATATTAAAAATAATATGTAATTTGTCCGTACATTTTATATTGATCTATGACTATGAGAACTAAGAGAAATAAAATGGTGAATCAATGGTAGATCACCCATGCATCTTTACTTAAATGTATAGTTTCATTTCACATTGCTTTTTCCATAAGTACCTGCTTCCTAAATTTAAATGCAAACCTAAATATTGTTTCTTTAAACTAAGTCAGGTAAGATAAATGTTTACATAATATCTTGATGCCTCCAGGACTGTGAATGAGTAACCCAAAACTGCATGGTAATTTTTTTTCAAGGACTCTCTAAACATAAACAGGATTAATTCTGCCATTTGTTTATTCACATTTTGAAAAATGTCTCCAATCTATGCATCCCAGTAAAAAAATGATTTAAATTTTTGTACGTAAGAAGCTCAAAGGAGGATACAGTGTTTGCAGGTAAAATAACATTCAAAAAGATCAGTACAGTCAGTACTATTGAGAAGAGAGAATCAATAGAAAGTGTACTGATAGGAAAGGCAGCCTGTGAGTTAAGCCTTGAAGAAAGTTAGGGGGGCGCAGCTAGGTGGCACAGTGGATAGAACATCAACCCTGAAGCCAGGAGGACCGGAGTTCAAATCTGGCCGCAGACCAAACACTTGTCACTTACTAGCTGTGTGACCCTGGGCAAATCACTTAACCCCAATGGCCTAAAAAAACCAAAACAAACAAACAAACAAAAAACCCCATAATTCTGTTAAAAAAAAAAATTAGGGATTCTAACAGGCAATCAGTAGTAAAGAGGGAGTATAAATCAGGCACAGCTTGAGCAAAAGCAGACAGGAAATACAACAGCAAATTCAAGAAACAGCAAACAGGCCAATTTGGCTGGACTATATGACTAAGTGAAGTGAGGTAATGTGAAATAAGCCTTGTAAAGCATGTTGGATCCAAGGCTTGTGAAAGACTTTAAGGGTCAAGGTATAATAATTTCTATTTTATCTTAGAGGCACAGGGAGCCACTGAAACTTCTTGAGGAGGGAAGCTAACTTGTGCTTTAGTAACACTATTTTGATAGTTGAGCAGAGGAAGGACTGAAGAAGGGGAGAAGCTGGAAGTCTAATTAGGAGGCTGTTTCAGTAGATCAGGCATGAGAATCTGAACCAGGGTTATGGCCGTATGAATGGAGAGAAGAGTCTCTACTATACATACAGAGAATGGGAATACAGAATATAAAAATCATGAGCAAATTACCCTAGTGCTATTTTCTTACATCTTACCCATTTATTAAGTGTATAATATGTCATGTAAATAAAGTCTAACAAAATTTAGCAACTAATCTGAAGAGGGATTAAGAGAGAGAATTGGGGATGGCTGAGGTTAAAGTAAGATTTGCCCAGAAAAAATGGTGGTACCTTCAGGCAAGGAGGATAGGTTGGTTAAAGAGATAATAAAATGAATTCCATTTTGGGCAAGGTGATGTCACTAAAGCAGTTTGCTCAAGGCATACTGGAGCTTTGTAAAAGAGCCTGAGGGTAGATAAATAGAAATGGGAATCATCTGAACAGACACAGTAACTGAACCAATGGCATTTTTTCAAATCGCACTCTTTTTGGCTTCTCTGCACTATTTGATAATAACTCCTTCCTCAACACTATTCCTTGTGGTTTTGTGACACTGCTCTCTTTCTGTTCTAGTCCTAAGTGCCCTACCACTCCTTATTCTCCTTTATGAAGTACTCATTCATGTATCACCCCCTAAATTATGGGTATCCTCCAGAACTCCAACCTAGGCACCACTTCTCTATAACCTTCCTTTTGTGGATCTCATTAGTTGCCATGATTTTAGAGAATCACAGAAGGACTTTAAACATCTTGTCCAATCCATACTAGAAAAAGAGTCCCTTCTACAACACTCAACAAGTGATAATCCAGCCTCTGCTTGAAAGTCCTCCAATGGAGCGGAGAAACATTACATCTCAAAGCAGCCTATTCTACTTTGAGATGAATGTTAGAAAGGTTTTCCTTATGTTGACCAAAACCCCTCTGAATTTCCACTGACTGCTTCTAGTTCTGCTTTTCTCTGCTAAGGACTAACAGGGTGGCTATTTGCTGACCCAAAAAAACCTAAACAGGTCTACTAGGTATCTTGGACAAAAGGTACAAATAATCTTGAAAGACTTGTTCCTACTTACTTCTAGTAGTAATTCATGTCATTTTTATTCTATCATGCTTAGTAATTTTCCTAGGCAGTGAAATTATAAGTAAAAAAAAAAGAATGTGAATAGTTCTGTCATCTCTTAAGTTAACATTATTCCATCCATCATCAGCAGTGGTCCTATTCCCTACTCCCTTTTATAAATTTTCTTCTTGGCCCCCAAAAGAATAAGGGAAAGAGTATGTCTGGACAAAAAAAGCAGGTCAAAAGAGGGGCAGCATTTGGGGTCAGTGGGAAAATGTACTAAGGCTTGAAATGCAGCTAGTATCATCTAGTAAAAAGCCAAGAGCAGCTTCTGTTTGCATTACAGCTTTGTAAGAGTCTGCATTCAAAGGCTATTCTGCAAACAAAGGTGGAAAGTTTGTCCTCTCTTTTAATTTTCTAAAGTGTTAAGCTTAGTATTCCTGAGAAAATGTGCAAGGAAGACCACAATTTATAAAGTTAACTTAGAATTTGGGAACAGAAAGATGGAACCTGCTAAGACAGCATAGATAAAATAAAAGTGCTCCATCTGTCCCAAGCCATCTAAGCTAGATAAATGATTTGGAATGCTAAAAATTAATTCTAAAACAAAAACTTTTTAAAAAAAATCTAGTGAGAATATTATTAAGGAGTGGACCAATGTAGTCAATCTGTGGTATAGACATAGGAGCATACCGCTAATGTTAAATCCAGGTGACAAAAATCAAACTTTAATAAGGAAGCTCATGGAAGTTAAATGGCCCGTGACCACACAGCTGCTGAGTGTCAGAGTCAAGATTTGAACTATTAAATGCAGGTTTCAGTTAGGTGGGTTTTGAGGACACACATACATTTAGTTATTTGTATTCTTGTTTAATAAGAATCTTATATTATTGTGTGGTAGAAATGGCAAGAAGGATGGATTCAGAGAAACTTGGGAAAACTTAGAGAAACCAATGTAAACTGAAATAGGTAAACCCAGAACAACAATTTAAACAATAACTACAACACTTTAAAGAAAAACCCTTAAAGACTTAAGAGCTCTGATCAAGGTAAAAACCCAATCAAACTCTAAAGGACGTTAATGAAGCACACTATCCACCTCCTGGTACGACAGTGATGGAGATGAAATTGACAGGGCACTAACGATGGACCCCTGGACTAAAAGACCCCTAATAGGCCCTGGACTTTCCCACATAACCCAGCCCCTGAACTCAGATCTCTGGTGTTTGCTTGAGGCACCTGGCCCTTCCCAGTCAATAATTCTTTTAACTGCCGTTTCATTGTAGCCCTCATTGTCTGCACCTGGCCTACCCCAGGCTACTTGACATCCTGAAATCCCATCCAGATCTTCCCACAGTCTTTCTGTATAAAAGTGTCCATCTTGCCCCCATTAAATTGCTCAGATTATTAAAATCTGGCCTGCTTGTATTGGCAACACTATAAACCTTGTCTCTTGGACTGAAAGAAGGCTTGAGTAGTCAAATTCTTTCGAGGCAGACCCATGCCCTTTGCATTTTGGGGTTCCCAGCACCCCTAGACTGCAACAAGATGGAGAATGAAATATACATTTCTGGATATGGCCAATGAGTAGATTTGTTTTTCCTGATTATGCCTACTTGTCACAAAGGAGGTCTTAAAAAATTTTTCCATGGGGGAAATGGCAGGAAGAGAATAAGGAGTCACAGTGAAGAGAAAGAAAAGATCAGTGAAGTATTATTAAAAAAAAAACAACCCAAAAAACCAAAACATATAGTAGAGAATAGAAAAAGCCTGAGACGGAGACATGGACAAGCAGGATATTTTTAAAGCTGTCATATGCCTTATAAAAGGCAAAATGTTTGCAATGGAAATTAACTGATTTCATGTAAAATCCTCTTTTTCTGTCTTTTGAATATAGAAATATTACTGTTAATTAGTTCTTATAAAAAAACAAAAATTGTTTTTAAGATTCATTGTTCAATAAAATAAATATCTAAATATTTGCAGGTTATTTCCAATATGTATTAAATTCTAGAAACAAATTCTAAAACTAGAATACTTGGAGTACAAAGTTGAAGAGCTGGCAAACTAATCAAGTGGTTGGACAATGTGATAATTCCCTTTGGATTGTTTAAGCACTGGGCACATAGCAGAAACTTGACTATTTGAGCACTGCTATTAGTGCTCACTCATTAGTCAACTGTGCTTATTAAAATACTATTACCTTCTAAAATAAATTATTTTTAACTTATTTACACGACTTAGCTAACATAAAACTAAAATATTTAGAATTGGAATTGAATTTAAAAACTTATCAATTATTTATTTTATTTAAGTTATAGTTACAATTTTATAATATTTGCTTAGCATTACTTATTTTGCTTCATCACTTAAATAATCCTATGAAAACCTACCTAATAATGCCTCCTATTTATCAATCATTGCAATATAAGTGATTCTTACATTTTAGTACTTACCTGAGGGATAACAATATCTGCTAATGCCTTTGAAAGCCTGTACAAATCCATTGTATTTTCTAATTTCAAGGAGCCATTATGCTGAACATCATATTTTATACAATCATATATGTCAGGGATTTTACTGATATCATATTTTCCATTCTTTGTTTTAAAATCCTTTTCCAACTTGGACCATCGACGTAGCATTAGTTCTAATGTTTCACTATGATAAAGTTGGATGTCTAAAACAAGGAAATAAATTGTCAAACAACGCTTCAATATTCTAAAGTTTAAAAACATCAGTCTAATTAATGTACATTTTAATAACTTAAAAACTAGTTTATAACTCTACAAAATTAGACAATTTTTACCACTAGCAATTTTTAAAATGAAATATATTTCTTATACGTGCAAGTTCAAGTTTTTCATTATGAATTGGTTTGTGAAGAACTGTTTACATATATTATCTTCAGTAAAACTAAAACTCATTAAACTTTTAATTTTGCTCATAAAGTACTATTTTCTTCAGAATCATTTAATCAAACCAGGTAGATGAATAGATATGGCCAAAGGGACTTCAGAGATCATCTAGATAACTATAAACTAGGTAGTACAGTAGATAAAGGTGTTAACACAGTGTTAATAAAGTGTCAGGCAGATTTGAGGTAAAATTTGGCCCTAATCACTTATGAGCTATGTAACCCTGGGCCAATTATTTAATCTTTGCCTACCTCAGTTTCTTCATCTATAAAATGGGGATAATAACAGCATCTACCTCCCAGAGTTGTTATAAGGATCAAATGACATAATATTTGTAAAGTGCTTTGCAAACCTTAAAGAGCTTTGCAAACCTTATAGAGCTATATTTTAAAAATGGTACGGGTGATGTCTTTTGACTCATGCAAAATTTGGATTTAAGTGAGGCAGAATTGTGGGAAGCTGTCAGTCTCACTCTCTTCCACAGTCATCGAAGTCCAGTGGTAAGACAAAAGTCAAAATGACTAGCAATGGTTCAGGATGCAGTGGATGAATGACCTTGGCATTTCTGATATCTAACCAAGCTCTAAAGGCTCCAGAGTCTGCTTCTGCCACCTTCACGGCCTACTGAAACAAATTGTTCACATCCACCTACTCCTCTATTTGGGGTAGACATCCCCTAACTCATCAATGAGTCTGAGGCTCTTTGGTCAGTCTCAACCTGTTTTAGTCCATCTGCCAAAATAGTCTAGTGGGGTGTAGCTGCTGTGCATGTTCCAGCTTCTTGGAGTCATAGCTGAGAACTGGGTGGCAGATGAACATCAAAGGCAGAAAGCAGCCTTGGTCTTCCCTGACCACCTGTACACCCCACTATATAAAGCTAGCTGCTATAATTAGCATCGTCATCATCCACCATAGGATTATGGAAATGATACTAGAGAACATGTAGTCTAACCTCTCATTTTTTTATGTGTAAAACCAAAGGCCCAGAGAGATCACACAGCTGAGTCACAATTCGAATACAGATCTTTGACCATAGCGCTCTTATCACTGGAACATGCTGTTCTCTCCTAATGTTATTTATGATAAAACTGAAATCAAATGAAATTATCTGCCCAAGGTCAGATAAATGACAGAGCTGAGATGGGACTAGAAGCCAAATCCTCTGGTTTCCAGTCAGATGTTCTTAAAAAAAAACAAAAAAAAACTCCAGTTTGGTTGTATTTCTTGTTACAGAAATTTTGTGCTACAGTGCAATTAGTTTTTAGAAGGATTATAGATTTGTAAAATTACTAAAGGTAAGGATGTTTGTTGCATCAAATTAAAACAGGCTTATGAAAGTTCTACAATAGATACATGTCTTAAGTTCAAAGACAAATGCAGGTATTTTGAAACATATCTTTTACCTGATGACTTGGGATCTTCCATTCTTTGTCTGATTTGAGAAGTCAAACTTTGAATCAAGGAGTAAACTTTGTCACAGGTCTTCACAGGATTTTTAATTAATTGCATTGATTTGATAACAGAAAGGCTGCCAGATGGAGTAAGCTGCAGAAATGAAGTTGTTTTATACTTTAGTTGTGCCTAATTAAGCATTTGCTTAAAACAGCATATGCAAAAAATTATCAACATGCCTATACATGACATAAATTCATATAACCAAGAAAGTTAAGGGTATCCAAAGTACACCAAACTTCCACATCCATGTAGGAGATCAGTTAAAACAACAACATGGATAGGAAGTCTATAGGAAACTTACTGAGGAATCAGTCAATGACTGCATTTCCACAGCTCAATAGGCTTTTTCTGACATTGTTTCTAAGGCCTTAAGTACAATTTATTCCATTTCACCCACACTTACTTAATTTCTATCATTTTATCTTTTAAAACTCAAATCATAGGTCAGCTTCTCCACACAGCCATTCCTGAATCTTCCCAGTTGATAATAATACTCTTGACCAATGGGATGCACTGGAATAAAGGGGGGGAAAGCACATCACAATGTCTCACCTTTTCATAGTCTTCAGGAGTAAAATCTCTATCTTTCTGCAGTATTTCATGAAGTCTTGCTTTCACACGATGTTGGCAACTGCTTAGGGAATCCCTATCACTATCCAAAAGTCCATTCATATTTGCACTTTTTACCATTTGGACAAGAATGGGGGTAAGCTCACCTTCTAGAGCCAAAAGACCCTAAACACAGTAAATCAATCAACAGAGATAAAAGGAATTAATATGCAAAGAAATGGAAAGAACAATGATACTTATCTTCATCTTCTTAATGATTTTTGTGAGATGAAAGTTAAATACTTTATAGAGGACAGGATTCAGTTATTAGTGTCAATTTTGAAAATTCTAAAATAGTTACATAAACACTAATTTTTTTTGACTATATCAGGAATTATCTCAGGTCAAAGGTCTATAAAATATTAACTTTATTAAGCAAGAAATAATTTTTTGAAAAAATTCATGATACCTTTGCAAAAGCTGCTGCAGTCATTTGGACTCGACCCTCATCAGAAGCATATATTTTGAGGTCATGTCTGTAGGTGCTGTGTAATCTAAGTAAACCACAACCAGGAAATCCTGCATAGTCACCTAAAAACAGATATTCCAATCACTTTAGCTAAATTTTAGTCAATGATTTTTGTATTTTTATAAATATAACTTAAAATGTCAAAAATAAATCTAGTGAATTTTGCTAACTGAATAATTTTTAACCACTATCAGTGAAGTTAAGGAAAAGATAATAAAAAGTCTTTAAAAAAAAATGATGAAAATACTTTGAAAAAAATTACCTTGTCCTCCAGGATACATACACCTGAAAGCTCTTCCAAGTTCTTCGGCCTGGACCCTTCCTGCAGGAGTTAATTCTCCTCCCCATTTCAGAACCAAAAGTAAAGATGGCTCTTCTCTTCGATTGTCTTAAAATACCAAGAAATACATTTATTTTTAAAAATTGGATTCAAATTGTTTTCTCAGCCAAATTCTTTGCTTCATGGATACACAGACTTCAAGGTCTATTCCCTACTTATTGTTCTGCATTGGAATTCCTCCTGGAATGCACAGGACGGGACCTTTCTATAATCAATGATGGGACATTCTAGCAACAAGTTATTTGTAAAGTTCTAAAATTTGCTAGGCAGATTAAGAAAAAAGTCTGTAGCTGAAGTTCTTATATAGAACCTAATGGAGCAAGGAAACACATCCCCTCAATCCCACCTTTCTGGGTTAGTTACGCACAAAAAAATTTAATCTTCATAATGAAATGACCTTTGAAATGGATATTTTTCTATAAAATTATATGACTGATGTTTTAATAAATATATAAAAAATATACACATCCAAGTAAATGCTATATTTCAAAGTTATAATCACCTTGGGATACTATATACCTATTCCAATAATGTTGACATTACTCAAAACATTTCTGTATGTGCTTTTGAAGTCAGTTTATAAACCATAGAAGAAAATAGATTTTTTTTTTGTTAGTACATATCATTTTTGACCAAAAGGAGTATTATATAGCTTGGTAATCTCTTATTTATCAGATATGGCAGCAAATGATCCCAGGCCATTTCTGTAAATCAAATGCTCAAAGACCAAAAATCTTTCAGTAGTAAAGAAAAGAATAATTCCCACTTACATAGAACTTTGGGGTTTGTAAAATGCTTTTCTCACAACAACCCTATGAAAAAGGTAGAACGTGCCCAACGATTTGAACAATCAAAGCACTGTTAGACTATGCATATTGCTTCCAAAGGAGAACATTCTTTTGGATCTCTAAGTTTTATGTATGCAGAAATATCTGTTGTAATATCTCATGCACATGTCCCCTATCAGGCCAATCTGCAATTGTTTACATTTTATCTTGTATATTCCATTTCCTCCTTCGTCTGTTAAAATAGGAGATATAATATCTCTGTTGGGGGAGAGAAGAATAGAGTTTCTATAGTTAATGATAGTATTAAAGGGAATTAGGAGTGGAGGTCCTGGTTCACAATCTACCAGAAATATGTCAGAGGATAAGTTCCCTTTAGTTCATAAAATGAATGAGTGGCAAACAGGAAATCCAGTGTGTGTGTGTGTGTGTGTGTGTGTGTGTGTGTGTGTGTGTGTGTG